TGTAGAGTGCAGTTCTCATATTTAATATAATATATTTATGCACTTTTATTAGTATATTATAAAGGCAAAATTCGTATTGTAGAACAGACCCTTCAAAATGTATTTGAATTAATAAACTGCAATATCTAAATTGATTACAATTTGGAGCTTTGAGCAGCTATTTGAGTGCTCAACAGTCTAACCATCTAATTATTTATTGTAAATAACTGATTTGACACGTCCGTACAGACCAAAAGGTCAGCGGACAAATAATATCCTGAAAGCCGCACTGGTCCCTTGGCAATATCGCAAAGGTCACAGGAAAACAATCAATGCGGCATCCTGAATCAAATAGACAGGTTTTCAGGTAAAGTAAGGGCCAATAGGAATGGCAGCATGAACAACAATTTCAATACGCAATGCGATGGAGAAAAGTGCACCTAAGTAAATGCAAAAAGCATTTCAATTTACATTATTTTTAACCAACAAGTATAAAAATAGTGTGACAACAAAAGGAATTCGATTTCAGGTCCTTGCACTTACCTTAACCATCAGAGCCGAAGTCCGTTCGGAGGTGTTGTAAAATTGGGAGACACTGTAGATCAATCGCACCGTCTGCAAGAGACTCAATATGGACTCCTTCATGCTGACCGGATCGTCCAGATATAGCGAATGGCAACACGTTTCCATGGCCTGGATGAACTTGGAATTGTCACGCGCCTCGTTGTAGCAGAAGGTTATTTTGCGATCGGTTTCCTTCCACTGGCGCATAATCCTCGAGCCGGCTAGGAAGAGACAGTGGAGTGTGAACTGCACTTCCTTGTCCTGCAGGTGAGCCAGCAGCTGGGAGAATTGAGCGCCTCGCTTCTTCCAGTACTCCAGTTCGTCCTGGGGTCCACTGTGATCGTTTTCCTTGCGCAGCTGCTCGCTCTCGCCCAGAATCTTGAGTATGCCCTTTGACCAGTTGTTCACACGCTCCTCCAGCTGTGCGCAAAACTCCTGATTCTTGGCCATGTCCTTCACCTCATCGACCACAACGCAGCCATCGAACATGTCGCAACCGTCGGCAAATACGTTATAATGATCACAGACCTGCTCGCAGACACGCAACGCGCTGCAGAAGGATCGCAAACCCGGCAACAGCTGGCCCTTGATAAGTCCGCAGCTCACATCCTCCTCATCGCCCTCAAGGCTGGGGAAGGCCAAAGCCTGCATAAACACAAACTCCACAATGCGCTCGATGGAGGTGACCAGGCCAATATTCTTGGCATCGATGACGCCACAGTATCTAGTCGAATGAACGAGACGGCAGGCGAAAATATTCAATTACCAATACCCTAAAGCAGGGTGGATGGGAATTTATATATGTGTGGGTGTGGAAGTGTGTGCATTGCATAAATCCCCGATAATCCATGTGCCAACAAATAAACCCTAAATTGGCTATTCTTAGATAACAGTTTTTGAATTTGGCCAACAAAAGTGAAACTTATGAAAGATAAACAGAAGCGCAAACTGATTCTAAAAACAAACAACGAGAGTAGACGACTTAATGATACCCACTAAGTAGTCAATTTATATTTGTTTAAAAATCTGCAGCTGAACTACATAATTGATCAGACTTGGATGTCGAAGCGAGACGAAACGGGAATATACACTGTAACCACATAGTGTAAATGAATATACCCCATTTGCAATAACAACAGGGTATATATTACTTCAGCCACTTACAAATCCTTTTGAAATCCCTCCTCTGGCAGCTGCTTAGACGTATTCACGCGAAAGATATAAATACAGACTCCAGTAAAGGCGCAGGTCCAGCCATCAGTTAGAAATAGTTTCTTCTGCTTGGGCGGAGGCAATCCGCTGGGCGAGGCGCCACCTAAAAGAGCAGGCGTATGATTTAGATTATGGAATATGGGCATATATTATAGAATTACGGTACCCTGTGGCGTCTTTGAGCTACTCGATGCCATGCCCGTACGTGACGGTCCCGGCTTATTGGCATCCACCACGGGCTGCGGCTCCGGCTCATCCACCTCTTGATAGAACCAGAGTAACTTGTTCTTCATATTCGGCAAAAAGAGCTGATTGATCTCATCGAGCTGCGAATTTATAAAAATAATTTATATGATTTGTTGCCATTAAAGCTAGTTAAAAATGCGCTACCATATCCCCTTCGAATATATAATCCATGAGCTGATGCCGCGGCAGCTGCGTCGCATCGATCAGCAGTTGGAAGGTGAACTCCAACCGGGGATCCATTTCCCCGCGGCGAGCTTTGCGTTCGCATTCTTCGCGCCGACGCTGCGCTTCGTCCGGGTCCATTGCCATATTTTTTTATTTGTTTTTATGAAAGGTCCAATAAATGGATCATATAAATATTGTCCGATATGCAATCCGTTGAACCGTTGAAGTACCGTAAAAAACGCGCAGTAAAAATTTAGCAGGTGCCGCAGAATATTATTTATGTTTTTATTAATTATATTTATGTATTTAATTTGTCATTAAAAATTTTTAATAAAATAAATATTTTTATACGATTTATTTTTCATCAT